ATATATATATATATATATATATATATAAAAATGTTTGTTTGACTTTAGAGTGAAATGTGACTTGGACACATTTTCTTGCGATATTCACCCAAGTGACTTTACAAAATTCATAAACAGACATTTTTTTTTTTAAACTTCTATTCCTCTTGTATTTCCTATCTGCCCTTTAAACTCACTGTAACATAGTAAGATACATCCGCTTTGACTCAAGACAGCTCAGAGAGTTTGAGGAAATGTTCTTTTACACCATATTTACTCGTTGAAACATCACCTGATTATCGAAAGGATCCATGAAAGAAAAACCAATGCTTGAGACTGAAATGCGATGCCAGAATCTCGTCACCATGGTGAAAAACATGGTACATTCAACGGTTTCAAGCACCCGATTCATCGCGTCACAGGAAGCCGCGTGCCGTGTAATTAAACATCCACATATGCGTCGATCACACAAACAGGCCTATGCTGAATATTGCATGTGGCAGTTTTTAATTTTGACACACCAAATTCATTATAAGATTTAAAACATTCCTTAAATAGGTGATATATTTTGTGCATATACACACTCTCTCTCATCGATTACATAAGAAAGCAATAAGGGGAAGTGCGTCTTAAACACTGACTAACTGCGTTTAACAGGAAAAAGATGACATTCAGTGCGCTGTGTGGGTAACAGGTCCGTTTGACTCATGAACTACACACAGCCAGCCTCCTACCGACTTCAGCTTCTGTTGAACCGAACAAACACGATAGATTGTCACTAGTCAGCCATGCCGTACACAGCAGACAACATTCAGCCAAGAGAATAATGCAGAAAGACAAGGACGAGAAGCTAAAAGAGAGCATATTCAAGAAATGAACTATACAAAGATACGGGTATCAGAAATCATTTTCTCACACTGTTTTTTGTCTTGTTTCTTTCACTAAAATGCATAAACATCCCTAAAATGTACTTTAGCATATTCTGCTTTCAGAGAAAACATCTTGGATTTTCCAAATTTTTTTTCCTGTTTTAGGCATAAATCTAGCAAAATTTAGTGAGGTTTCTGCCTAAAAACTATGGAAAAAATACAGTTTGCCAACAGAACTTGTTTTCAGAGAATATACTTAATTCAAGATTTATTACAATTTGTTTTGTAAATAAATAGATCTCATTTCAATTTTCATGAAAAATATCTAAATATCCTTAAAATATACTCTTACATGTTAGAACTTCAGAGAATATATCTTGATTTAAGTTTATTTTAATTCACTTGCAAATAGTTTTTTCTTGTTTTAAACAGAAATCTAACCAAATTTAGAGAGGTTTGTGCTTAAAAATGAGAAAAATGTTTTTCAATGGGGTGAGAAAACAAACTTAATTCAAGACATGCAAAATTTGTTTCTCAACTAAATAGATCTAATTTTAATTGCCACTAAAACATATAAACATTCTCAAAATGTATATTTGCATACTGAAACTTGTTTTCAGAGTACATGTCTTGAATTCAGTTTATTTTTCTTAACTCATTCACAAATACATTTTTTCTTTTTTAATCTAAACAATAAATCTAACAAAAATGGTTGAGATTTCTGCTTAAAAACGAGAAACCATTTTAATGATGTGTGAAAAACTTCTAGATTCTAGACACAATATACAAAAAACTGTTTCTCAACAAAATTGATGTTTTAATTTTCAACAAAAAAAACATCTAGACACTCTTAAAATGTACTTTTGCATGCTCAAACTTGTTTTCAGAGAATATATCTTAAATTAGGTTTATTCGTAAATGTTTTTTTCCCCTATTTTAAGCATAAATCTAACAAAATTTGGTGAGGTTTGTGCTGAAAAACTAGGGAAAATACAATCTGTAAATCAGGTAAGAAAAAAATTCAATACACAAAATTTGTTTCTGAAATTAATGCATCTCATTTTAAGGATGTTTAAATTTTTTTGTTCAGAAAAAAGACAAAATTGACTGAGAAAATGAATTTTGCAGTGTGATAATACTTAGTGTTCAGTGCAAAAGACATTTTAGGGCAAAACAGGGTTTTGCGGAGCAAACGGATGGTGCATTTAGTGACTTTGATGTCCCTGTGCATTATTGTACAAATACAGATCGCTAATGCCGAGAACAACATGAAGAAATAACTAGCTGCATACAGGCTAGTCAGCTTTCTGCTCGTCTACCGCTCCTAAACACCACACGAAATGAGACGCCCTTATGACACACAACAAGCATTGTGTTTCACCGTCCGAAATACACACATCCAAGACGTCGCTTTATCGAGCGTTCGTACTTCTCCTGACCATTTTGAGCAGAATTGGTGAATTTTAATATGCATTGTAAACAAATGAGTTATTTCTAGAAATGCAAAAACTAAAGACTTTCCAACACAATCATATCTTAAAGGTTCGACTTGGTGATTTGACTTGGTAGTGTGTGATGAAATGGCTTCGGGTGAGAAGTCGCAGAAGAAACCGAGAACTAGAAGGCAAAGGAAGGTTATGCGTTTCATATTTACGTTCCTCCGAATCCCAATCACGCTCTCCCGTCCAGATCCCATAGCACCTTGTGTTGTGACATCACCCAGCCATCAGCCAATCACAGAGTCAGATTCAGTCGGAATCAACACCCCTTCCTGATGGCACACAGAGCAGGAGGGCGCACACAGGAAAGAGAGAGACCTCACTTCCTCTCCAGTACAGCGAGCTTCCTGTGGATGGCGGTGGTGGCTTCACTTGCGGACGGCCTGCCGGTAGCTGTGTCTCTGGCCCTGACCGCGGGAGCAGCCGTTGTTTCCGTTTCCAGACGGTTCTTGTGCATCAGCGGCAATGCTTTGGCTCGCGCCGTCTCTGGTGCTGCAGGTTATACTGCTGTCCTGAAGCGTGGGGCTGGACTGAGCTCTCTGTAGCGCACCTTCCTCCAGGAGCATGGTCTCAAACACTGACAGGTCATCGTCGTCGCAGCGCTGCTTCGCCCGCAGGAGCATGCTGTACGTCTCATAGCGCGTTTTCTACGAGAGAGGGACGTTTTATTAACTTGATGAAAATGCATTCACCCTCGGGCCATCCAAGATGTAGATGAGTTTGTTTCTTCATCAGATTTGGAGAAATGTAGCATTGCATCAGTGTCTCAGCAATGGATGCTCTGCAGTGAATGGGTGCCGTCAGAATGAGAGTCCAAACAGCTGATAAAAACATCACAATAATCCACAAGTAATCCACACCACTCCAGTCCATCAGTTAATGCCTTGAGAAGACAAAAGCTTTGTGTTTGTAAGAAACAAATCTATCATTAAGATGTCCATAATGCCTAATGTTGCTTTCTACAGTGAAAAAGTCGTTCAGTCTGAATCAGGAGAGAAATCTGCACAGGACCAAGCACCATTTACAAGACAAAACAAATATGAGTAAACAAATATGTGAGTGGATTTTGATGTGAGAGGACAACAGTAAATGGACTTTTTCACTGGAGGAAGCGTTAATATGGACTCGTATTTTAGCCGGAAGCAGCTGGAATTCCTTAATGATAGATGTTTCTTACAAAAACACAGCTTTTCTCTTCATAAGACATTAACTGATGGACTGGAGTGATGTGGATTACTTGTGGATTATTGTGATGTTTTTATCAGCTGTTTGGACTCTCATTCTGACGGCACCCATTCACTGCAGAGCATCCATTGCTGAGCAAGAGACGTAATGCTACATTTCTCCAAATCTGATGAGAAACAAACTCATCTATATCTTGAATGTAGATGTAGAATTGATCAAAAGTGACAAAGACATTTATAATGTTTCCACAAAAATATGAAGCAGCTGTTTTCAACACAGACAATAATCAGAAATGTTTCTGGATCAAATCAGCATATCAGAATGATTTCTGAAGGATCATGTGACACTGAAGACTGGAGTAATGATGCTGAAAATACAGCTTTGATCACATTTTACCAGTACATTTACATAGAAAATACTGTAGTTGTAAGTATAGTCCGAAAATAGTTAAATTGTAATAATATTTCACAATATTACTGTTTTTACTGTGCTGACCTTGTTGAGCAGAAGAGCCTTCTTTCAAAAACATAAAAAAATATTACCAACCCAAACTTTTGAACGATAGTGTATATATTTACCTCAAACTCCAGATACTCCTCTCTCAGCCGGTACTCCTCGAGTTCACGACCTTTCACCTTTCTGTCAGGCGGATAAGAGCGCAGTTGTGCAAGCTCAGTGGAGATGGAGCGAAATCGAGCTTCATGAGCCTGTACCTGCTCCTCCTACACACACACACACACACACACACACACATACACACACTTTATAACACTGCAGTTTATATAAACACAGATACAAGCACACATACAGCACATGCACAGTCACTCTTATGAATCATAACAAGCCTCCTTGCTCTCTACTGCCTACATAGGTAGCTGTCTTTTAAGGAAGCATCCTAACTGAAATCAATAAGTGATACATGTCATGGAAATGGGCATCATGTAAATAGGTAAAATAATTATTAATATTTATTAACTAATTATTTTATCAAATAATTACACTTTACAAACAAGGTTTCTTTTGTTAACATTAGTTATCTGTATTAGTTAAGATGACCTAACGATAAACAATACTTCTATAGCATTAATTCATCTTAGTTAAGGTTAATTAATGTAGTTAACTAATGCTGACCAATTAAACCTTACTGTAAAGTGTTCCGTTTATTCATATATATTTATTACTATATTCATCATATTATTTATTATTATAGGACTTTATTAAGTCTTTAAGTATGAAGACTTATAACGAAAACATTTGTGACAACTTTTATGCAAATCAGCTGATTTGACCTGTGACAGCTTGGAGGCGGAGCCTGGCAGCAGCGGTCGACTGAATTTCTTCTGTGAGCCAATGGCAGCAGGGAGGGGCGGGGCTGAAAACATGGCCGCCACTGTGTTGATGCGTGTGATCCAAGACTGCATTTGTTCAGCATTCCTACACAAACAAATCAAATCCATGTTAATAATAATAGAAAACATCTAAAACAAGTACCAGACTGCAACATTTTCTTCTCTTCATTATTAGTAATAATGTATAAACCTTTGAAGACAGACGTACAATGAGTTCTGTAGTTGGTACAGTGGTGGCCAAAATGATTAGAACACTAGTATTTTCAGCAGCTCTCCCGTCCAGATCCCATAGCACCTTGTGTTGTGACATCACCCAGCCATCAGCTAATCACAGAGTCAGATTCAGTCGGAATCAACACCCCTTCCTGATGGCACACAGAGCAGGAGGGCGCACACAGGAAAGAGAGAGACCTCACTTCCTCTCCAGTACAGCGAGCTTCCTGTGGATGGCGGTGGTGGCTTCACTTGCGGACGGCCTGCCGGTAGCTGTGTCTCTGGCCCTGACCGCGGGAGCAGCCGTTGTTTCCGTTTCCAGACGGTTCTTGTGCATCAGCGGCAATGCTTTGGCTCGCGCCGTCTCTGGTGCTGCAGGTTATACTGCTGTCCTGAAGCGTGGGGCTGGACTGAGCTCTCTGTAGCGCACCTTCCTCCAGGAGCATGGTCTCAAACACTGACAGGTCATCGTCGTCGCAGCGCTGCTTCGCCCGCAGGAGCATGCTGTACGTCTCATAGCGCGTTTTCTACGAGAGAGGGACGTTTTATTAACTTGATGAAAATGCATTCACCCTCGGGCCATCCAAGATGTAGATGAGTTTGTTTCTTCATCAGATTTGGAGAAATGTAGCATTGCATCAGTGTCTCAGCAATGGATGCTCTGCAGTGAATGGGTGCCGTCAGAATGAGAGTCCAAACAGCTGATAAAAACATCACAATAATCCACAAGTAATCCACACCACTCCAGTCCATCAGTTAATGCCTTGAGAAGACAAAAGCTTTGTGTTTGTAAGAAACAAATCTATCATTAAGATGTCCATAATGCCTAATGTTGCTTTCTACAGTGAAAAAGTCGTTCAGTCTGAATCAGGAGAGAAATCTGCACAGGACCAAGCACCATTTACAAGACAAAACAAATATGAGTAAACAAATATGTGAGTGGATTTTGATGTGAGAGGACAACAGTAAATGGACTTTTTCACTGGAGGAAGCGTTAATATGGACTCGTATTTTAGCCGGAAGCAGCTGGAATTCCTTAATGATAGATGTTTCTTACAAAAACACAGCTTTTCTCTTCATAAGACATTAACTGATGGACTGGAGTGATGTGGATTACTTGTGGATTATTGTGATGTTTTTATCAGCTGTTTGGACTCTCATTCTGGAATGATTTCTGAAGGATCATGTGACACTGAAGACTGGAGTAATGATGCTGAAAATACAGCTTTGATCACATTTTACCAGTACATTTACATAGAAAATACTGTAGTTGTAAGTATAGTCCGAAAATAGTTAAATTGTAATAATATTTCACAATATTACTGTTTTTACTGTGC